ATGGTGGGCACTCGAAGCCGTGCCCGCCAGGGGGCGCTGCCGCTCCGCCCGCCGGTTTCCCCGCCCTGTCGGCCCCGGTCCCCAGGGATCCGAAGGGCAAGATCCTCCTTCTGAAAGGGGCCAGTGTCAGTGGCTCCGGAGGTGGCTGACCCTGACTGTAGGGCAGTGCATGTTTGAACCTGGATGCCAGGGGCTTGCTCTCAGACCCTCAGGCTCAGTGTTAGGAAATTCCTGGCAGCCCATGACTGATTGGGTACATCAAGCACCGACCAGCCCCACCCACAGGCCCCTAAAGAGCATTTTGACAGAGATTTGCAGTGTTACTTGCTGTCTTAAGAAGTAAAGACTTCTACTGGATTTGCGTCAAGCCATCAGGTTACGTCCATGCCGTGATCCTGTGATGTAATGTTTTCTGTTCATTCCAGACATCAGTTTCTTCAGACATGGACTTAAATACTCCCATAGCACACTAAATGACAGTGCAGTCTTCTTATAACCAGTGCAGTAGCAGCTCCACTCTCCAGCAAAGTGCAAGCAGCACACACATGAGGCATTTCATTTACCTATTAACAACCTGTTCCTCTTGACCACTACTAATAACTGCAGGCACTTTCATCCTCTCTGGCAGCAGCTGGGGTTGTCTTGTCTCGAGATGGAGACATATTAAAATTAATTCCATTGTGTTTTTCCCCTCTTGAACTTCAGCCATAGCAGTTGATGTAAAGAGATGCTGTAGCTTTTCTTCTCCCATCTATTGGTGTGACAGTCAACCAAAATAAATGCAGACAATGAAAAGCTAAACTGAAGCAGAACCTTGCATGGGGCATCCATGGCCCATCGTTCCCTTGTTCTCTGTGGCAAGAGAGCACAGAACTCAGCCTTGTGTCAGCAGGTGTGTCATGTACACCACTGCCCCAGCTTCAGCTGCGATAGGGTTAGTTTTCACAGGAAGCTAGGAGGGGAGGGCAATCGCTGCCAGGGGAGGGTAATCACTGCTCGGAGCTAGCTGGGCATTGGGCGGTGAGAAAATTGCACTGTGTGTTTCTTGCTTTCTGTATTACTTTATCAGTAATGTCATTGTTCTTGTTCTCTTCCTTTGCTGTTCTGTTAAAGTGTCTTTATGCCAGCCCACAAGGCTTTCCTTTTTCTTCCCCGTCTCCTCCCCACCGCACCAGGAAGAGGAGCGATAGAGCGACTGCATGGTTCTTTGTTGCCAGCTGGGGCTAAGCAACAACATCCCACTGGATCATTGCCCTAATGTGTCACTGAGGACACTATACATTCCAGTGGGAGCTGGGCTTCTCCTCCTGCTCATCTGGTATTATGAACTGGTGCAAAGGTAGCTCCTCAAGCAAAACATATCCATGAAAACTAGGACCTACTAGAGAGAGTCCAGCAGAGGTCTACGAAAAACATTAGGGCACGGGAGCATCTTTCTTATGAGAAAATACTGAGGGAGCTGGGCTTGTTTAGCCTGAAGAAGACTGAGAGGGGATCTCACAAATGCTTAGAAATATCTTAAGGGTGGGTATCAAGAGGATGTGGCCATACTCTTTTCCGGGGTGCCCAGTGACAGGACAAGGGGCAACAAGCACAGACTGATGCATAGAAAGTTCCACCTGAACACGAGGAAGAACTTGCTTAATTTGAGGGTGATGGAGCACTGGAAAAAACTGCCCAGAGGTGTCGTGGATTCTCCTTCTCTGGAGATATTCAAACCCCTCCTGGACGATGTCCTGTGCAGCCTGCTCTAGTTGAACCTGCTTTGACATGTGGATTGGACTAGATGATCCCCAGAGGTCCCTTCCAAACCCTACCATTCTGTGATTCTATGATCCCTGCTTTAGAAGCCAGCGTTCTAGCTCCTTGGACTTTCTCCTTACAGCTAGCAGGGCGTATTTCAATCTCTATATAGGCTGATAGCCTTTCCAAGTACACCAAATTGCATCTTCAACTGGGAAGCACTGAAACGGGTCTGAACCAACCAGGTGATGCGCTTGTGATCAGCGCTACGCCTGTAGTAGCCATCGGAACTTCTTCCTGTGGGAGAGGATGAGATTTTTCCTCAGAAAGATCCAATCCTGTCTCTGAATCTCTGTCCTTTTCATGGTAGTCTATTGGTAATGTCGCACTTTGTTGTGCTTCTGAGGTTAGGTTGACTGACTGTGCAGCTGTCTGCAAATATTGTTGAGCGTGAGGTGTATATTTCTGCAAGCTGCCCAGGAGAAATTCGGTTGATACAGTTCTTCACCTTTTCTCTTGCACATCGGTTTGAGATTTCTCTAGGAAGATTGTGCTTGCTCTGGGATGATCAGATGGATTAGATTCCAAGGCTGAATCACCTAGGAAGACCTGCTTGCTGATGTGCTGGAGGTGGGGCTGAATCCGCTGGCATACGAGTCCTCTGACTCGGCCTCTGTTGATCCTGATCTGCTGCCTACTGCCACCACCTTGTGCATGTCAAAGAGGACCAAAGGGCTGGAAAACTTGTCCTGTGAGGAAAGAATGAAGGAGTTCAGTCTTTTCTTCCTGAAGAACAGAAGGCTCAGGGGGACCGCATCACAGTCATCCGCTACTTAAAGAGCAGCTGCAAAGAGAAAGGAGACTCACTCATTACAAGAAGCCACATGGGGCAGATGAGGGGCTGTGACCAATTTCCATTAGCCTGGGCCCGGCAGTGCTGGGAAGGCCCTGGCCTGCATGTGAGGAGCAGTGGTGGTGTGATCAGAGCTCAGAGCACTTGGGGAGCCTGGGCAGCTTGGTATGGGCAAGGTCATTCGCAGCGTTTGTGCTACGCTTGGGTTGGTACCTGTCCTGTACTTTGGTGTCCCCGGGGCGCGACCGTTTCTAGACCTGTGGGGATACCTGTGAGGGTCACGCACACAGTGAGGAGGAACTGGAGATGCCTGGGTGCTGGCAACTGACTCCAGTGCTGGGACGGCAGGTCTTATCAAGGAGCAGGTGACGCCTTGAATTCTGGGCACAGCAAGAAGGTGCCCAGTGAGATGGAGAAAGATGTTGCCGCTGCCCCAAAACCATATGTTGGAGGAGAATTGTGAGTGAAACTTCACGTGGTTTGGGGGAGACTGTGTGCCTGAGCCATTGATTTGAGCCCAGCTGGCCAAGGCCTTCTTTGGTCCAGCTGGTGCCCAAGAATACCAGGCAAAGCAAGAGGGCTGAGAATGGTCCAGCAGAGAGAGATGAGAGAAGCTGCTGAGCACAGAAAAGGGTCCCACTGTCACCACAATGTCCCAGTGGGAATGGAGGGGGCAACAGCTCTTGCACAGAGCCTTTCTGGAGTTGGTAGTGAGTCTGGCAGTGGTGGAGCCTGAGAAGCCCAGGCAAGCTGCCCCAGGCTTGGAGGAGACCAAGGACCAGAGAGCAGCCATGGGTGTCTGGGCACTGGGTACTCTCCTGGAGCTGCAGTGGCCCATGGGGCTGTTGGATTCACAAGGAGTGGTGACTCCATTGTGTGGCTGATACCAGTACCAGCTGGTGAATTGCCTCAGCCCTGCATATCTGGAGAGCAGTTGGGCCCTGCCAGGCGCTCAGGGACTGTATGAGGTACCTATATCATTTGTCTGTGCTTTTGTGCTGTGGCCGTGGACCCGAGATGAGGCAATGGAAAGAAAGGCATGAGGGAGATGAGGCTGTGGGCTGTCGACAGCTATTATTGTCTCCATATGCCCACCTCTGCCACCTTTTGGAGCCATTGTCTACTTGAGCCACCTCCTGCAGCACACCTCCATCCAGGCCTAGACGACATCCCTTCCTTACAAGCCAGACTGCTGCTGACCTCATCCCTTGGCATCCCGCAGCCATAGGCTCCTCACTCGAGGACAGCAGTTGTTGGGCTCCCCATTGACAGAACATGCTCCAGGGCCCACGGCTCCAGGCCCATCTGGGAACAGATGCAGCAAGGCTGACTGATGGCCATTGTCTGTGGAGTAGCCAGGAATGTCTTCCTCAGGTCCAAGGGACAGGGCACAGCAGGCAACCCAGTGCACTGAGTCCTCCTCTCTCTTTCCTCTGGGATTGAGGAAGGGTCTTCTTTTTCACCCAACCTAATCCTCTCCAAAAAGACACTTTTTTCTTAAACACAATGGAAGAATTGCTTCAGAAGAAAATAGGACTCAGAGGCTCAGGTTTGGATGCAGCACAACTTTAATGAGTCTAAAAAAGAAAAGGAGGTGGCTCATAGGGAGCACCAGGGGCAGCCACTGAGATGCGGTGGAGCTCCTGCAGGGTGTCCATCCGCCTGCCCTGCAGAGGGAGGGAGGTGAACACATCCCCACCAGGCTGGCACTGGGAGACAGCGACAGCATAGGAAAGAGAGAGAGGAGAGTGGAAGAAGGAAAGATTGGCCCGAATCTCTAAATGCAATGTCCCAAGTTATCTTCTGTCCAGCACCATGTTCTGAGGTCTTGGAGGTTCTTGCCCGGGGACATCGCCAGCAGCTTTAGCAGGGTCGACATCTGCTGCCACAGTAGCGGCTGGGAATGCAGGAGAGGGCAAAACCC